AAGCAGGAAATGGCTGGGCTCAGCTATTGGGGAACTTATGGTGCTGGCAGGAGGAGCAGGTACTTCACCAAGGCAGTGGTTCCTGCAGTACCCAGACTTGCCAACCCTGTGCTGGCCCATAGGGGTTGACTGGGGACATGTGGGTGCCTCCCAGGACTGGCTGGCTCCAGGGCAGGAAGTGAACTCCTGTGCCAGTGATTCTGACCCTGGGAGGTCCTCCTAGCTGGTGGGGACGTGTAGGGTCAGAGGTGGAGGAGAGATACCATGATCCAACCTTTGACGTGACCCCCCTGGTTTCTGATGCCAGTGGTGGCCCAGCCTGGAGCAGCAGGAGCAGCGGGGGGACAGGAGGTGGGAAGTGGCAGGGAGCCGGAAGGGCGCAAGGGAGCAGCAGGGGTGCTGAATAGGATGAGCTGCATCAAGCACCCCATGCACCAGCAGCTGCTGCACCCCCTCCCCAGGCCCTTTGCATGTGTGGCATCAGGAAGCTGCCTGGGGGCCAGCAACATGGGGGAGGAAGGGGGAAAGAGAGGGGAAGCCTCACTGGGAGGAGGAGGATGGGGCAATGTAGTTCCTTACTCCAAGGGTTCACTTGCCAGGGCTGCTCTTTTTTCCAGCTGCACCTCCAGGAGCCCCCCGGGCCAAGAGAATCACTTTAGACAGGGTCGTGCCACCCTCAGCACCTCCCAGCCCCTCTCCAGATCCTACTGTCACAAGCACTGCCTCCAACCTCTGCAGAGCATGCAGATACAAGCTGGCCCATCACGCCTGCACACCCTGGATCCAGTGCAGTCCGTCACTTATGCATGTTTGAGACAGTCCTGGCATTCGCATGCCTGAGCCCTGGCAGAGCCATGCTCCACGCACTCAAGGCACAGTGTCTCATCCCTTGCAGACACGCCTGCCGCGGCTGCCCATGGAAGGGATGATGTGTCCTGCTGCGCCTGCACACAGTGCACTGGGTATCACTTGCGTGCCTGCCCTTGGGTGTGGTGCGCCTTGTCCCTGCTGCACGCTCCAGACCAGAGGTGTCCCATGCTTGTGAGGCAACAGGTATCCTGTGCTCCCCTGCTCCCATGTGCACACAGGCGATAGAGCCTGCTGTACAAAATCCTATCTCTTCTGCTGCCCCAGGTGGTGAAGGAAGCAAATGCTTGCTCCCCTGCTGCAGAGCACTCTCCTGCAATATGCAGAGATGGTGGCTTCCCGGTGGCTATCTCAAAAGAAAGGTGCTCTCTGGGGATTGCCAAGGATATTGCTGTGGCAACAAGCCAAGCTGGTGCCTGGCTGACAAGGCTGGGCATGTGGACTCACATGCAACTTGGTGAAGTCTTCAGGGACAGGGCTGTCACTCATCTCTGGATGGTGACTTCTGCACTACAGAATTGGCATTATGGGAAACTTTTAGCTCGGTTGCTCGTGATCCTGGCTGGGCAGCTGGCCCCAGCTAAGGTTAGGGAGGGCACCCAGCACTGAGATAAAGGCAGACAGGCCCTCTGGCCTCTGCCACAGGCTCCTGAGGCATGGGCTAGGGAGGAGCCGGTGTTGCCTCCCTCACCTTCGGCAGAGTCCAGAGTCCCCTGGGCTGATGCAAAGTCCCTATTCTCCCCCTTCCCCTGGTGTCATTTCCCCCTGTATCTCTGTCCTAGCCTGTCATTTGTCCACATGTCACTGCAGGGCCAGGAAAACAAGATGCAGATGCTGGGTCAGGGCCCTTCTTGTGCCACCGCACAACAACTTGGAAAAATCAAGTGGAGCGCTGCTCATGTGTGGCCACTAGCACCATCCCCTTAGCCTTGGGCTGGGGGAGATGAAAGACTCTGGGCTGGCCTGGGACTTTGAGAGGCCTCCCACTCTCCCTCCTTCTCCTCCTCCCTCCCTTCCTGTTTTCTTATGAAGATGTGGACTCACACTCAGCGTTAGCAATGGACACCACTGTTGCTGCCTGCCAGGAGCTGCCTTTCTCCACAGAGACGTGCAAAGCGACATCCCCAGACTTTGGGAAGTGGAGGAGAATGTGCCCGACTGGGCTCCCTTCAGTCACTGGAGGCCTCTGCATCAGCTTTGTAATGAAATTAAATGGAGTTGAATTGTAAAACATGTCCTTAATGATTTTATTGTAAGGAATTATATCTATTCAGTACTGGATGTTAAAGATCTTCATAACAGCATCATCATCTCTCCATTCATACACACTCTGATGAGCAGTGACATTGTTAACAGTGATGACATTTAAAATATAATATCTGGCATCAGGGTTAGCATCCTTTGAAATGAATGGGGCAGTTCACACATCAGAGCTACTGTGTCAGGCTCTCTGCAAACTCGCACATGCATCCATCTGCACTGGTCACACGTGGGTCACGCTACCGGGATTCTCATTGCATGGATAACACCGACTCTTCCAAAAATGAAAATGAAATGGAGAACAACCGAGAGACCTGCCTGCCCCCTGCATCCATCACACCACACTGCCAGCGTGCCTGTCCCCCATGGGGCCAGCGCACATGCAACGCTCCACTACAAGTGTATGCAACCGGATGGGAAGGGAAGAAGGGGGATTGCTACAGTCAAAGCTTGGCTTGCATTTCTCCTGTATAACCCAGTGCCTCCCACCCTGCCTGCATGACTCATGCCTTCACGCGTGCCCACTCCACCAAGATGGATCCCTCCACCTGTGCAGGCACAAGGCACGTGCACACTCAGTGCACTGGACTCCCTTTGTTCCCACATGGCACGGACATGAGGGCTACCGTCACGCCAGGACACTGGGACGTGTCGTATCCCTCACTTGTGCACACTTAGGTATGGAACAGCCTGTCACTCGCCTGCATACTCAAGACTAGAGCATGCTTCAGTCCAGGTGTGTCCTGTGAACTGCCATATCCTGGACCAGCCTGGGGTCCTGCCTCACACCACAGCGGTGAGGATGCTGAGGGGAGTGTGAACAGGGCCTGCCAAGTACCTTTTACTCGCATCTGCAGCCCTAAGAAGCGGGGCACTCCCTCACATGTGCAATAGGAGAGCTACGCCGCACCCTGTCACACATGCACACTCGAGCTGCAGCGTGCCCATCCCATTGCTCACAGACACTCCTGCCTCCTGCACAACAGCCCTGGGCAGAGGTCCCACTTCTCCCAGACCCTCCCTTTGACGCTGCCCAGGGTCTCTGCTGGTCCTGGTGACAGTGGCATGTTTCCATGGAAAGGGACTACTCGTAACCTCTGTGCCCCGAGGCCTAGAGCCTCCCCCAGGCCTGGCTGGGAATTCAACAGGACCTTCCCTTCTGCCTGAAGCTCGGGGCACCGCACTTCACTGGCACCTCTGGGGAACCAGATCCTGTCCTTCCATTCAGGGCTGCCTGAAGCCCATGACCCTCGGGCACTTTCCAGAGACCCCTAGGGCCTAGGCCCCTCCATAACCGGCTGCACTGAACAGAGAAACCCCGGTGCTGCTCACGGGTGAGGCCCTGGAGCCCAGCAGGGCCAACACAGCAGGGTCCCTAGGCCCTGGCAGCCCAGGACTGGGGCCGCGGGGGGCATTTGGCACAGACTGGGGCCTTCTCCATGGCAGCCAATGGGTGCTGCCCTGCTCGCTCTGACCAGGTGGGCACAGGCACAATGCAGCCCTGACACAGTCCCCAGCTGGAGCTGGGGCATCTGGGATGAGCCAAGGTGGGGGGCAGCCAGGCAAGGGTTTGCAGGGGGGACAAAAGTGCTCCTGGCTCACACCTGTGTGGGAGGAGAGAGACTGTGCCCTGCTGCCCCATGGCTCCCCAGGCAGGTGGACACCACCACTGCCACCCAGAGCGCCTTGTCCCCACCTGCACACTCGCCTGCTCCAGCCACCCCCATCCCCTCCTGCAGCTACCAGGAGGCAGCCCAGGCAGGTGCCTGCAGGCAGCACGGGAGGGTGCCTCGGTCAGGCACCACGGAGCCTCCCCTCTCCTGCCCCAGTGCTACAGCCCAGCTCCTCTCTTGCCTCCATGCT